CTACCGTTTGAATTGTTCTCTCCGTCTGACCATCTCATTCTTCAATTCTCTGACTAAAATTTTGTCACTATACGAGACATGGTTCTCTGAACCAATCACCTCACTTCGCATATCTATTTTAGTCGGACTCGATTCTTTACGACCATTTAGGTCTGAATGAAAATCATCTTCTTAGTCATCACCGAAACGAAGGTAATGACGTACTCGAACAAAAAACGGAATCGATTACTAGTTTCTTGGTAACCTTGTGACTTTCCCTGATCCAAGTGTGAGTCATGTGCTTCCAGTAGTATAGGCCTCTACTACTATTCACACCTACTCATACTCGTCTCAAGTATTGTCTCGTAGTTCCCAAGTCATCATTCAAAATCACAAAGCAACTTATCACACATGAATGTATTCAAACAAGTACATAGAACAATTTCTCCTAGACTCAACTAGGGATTTCACGCTTCTATCAAACATATCTTGGATTTCTTAAATTTATTTTCTAGAATTCTTTTATGCATAAGCTCGATCTAGCATATCCTAATAATTTTTCCTAAGTCGAAAGGAATTTCACTTCCAGACCAAGGTTGGCAACAGACCTTAAACTTTCTCAAGTAATAGCAATATAAGTAAGCAACCTAAGGCATGCTATATTCATTTATCATTTAGCACATATTAGAATATAAGACATATCTCCTCTAATATTCTAGTGCTTTTCCATTTAGGTATTCAACCTAAAGTATACTAGATACACATCGTATCATCGTCCCATATAGATATTTGTAGGGGTGAGCATAAACCGAACCGAAACCCAAAAAAACGCAAAAACCAAAGCCGAAAAACCGAAACTGAAACAAAAACCGATGGAGCGGTTTTAAATTTTAAAAAACCGAAAAGTTGCGGTGCGGTTCGGTTTTATATTGAATAACTGCACCAAATTAACCGAAATAACCGCATAATTTAATATATATTGTTTAAATACAAATATGTTGGACGAAGCCTGAAGGCGCCGGTGATCGCATGATTATTAACATCCTTAATTGATAGATTAGCGATAATAGAGACTGAGATTTGTTGAACAATGAAATTCTCTTTATTTATTTTTGTGTTTATTGTTATGCAAACTGTTAATAGGAAACAACTATATATTTGTTTGTTTATTCACTTATTGAAGTGACTCATAAATTGCATAATGTTTTATGTTCTACATTTGGCTGAATTTGTTAGTTCATAAATTGCATAATGCTTTTATCTTTTTTTTTTTAACATAATAAAATGCAACTTGCAAGATAAAAATGAATTGAAATGGTGAATTATTTGCAACAAAAAATCTAGAAATAAATAAAAGTCAATAAAGCATTATATAAATAAAAGAAAGTCGACTGAAAAATCTTGTTTGGATATGAAAAACCGTATCATTTTAACCGCAAAACCGCACCACCTCATTTTGTGGTTAAAAACCGAAACCGCACCGAAATAACCGCAATAACCGAACCGAAACAAACTGCAATTTTCGGTTTTTGACTATAAATAACCGCAACTTGCAGTTGCGGTTGCGGTTTAGTCCAAAAACCGCACCGAAGCACATCATGCTCACCTTTAGATATTTGTGTCGAACACTCTATACAAATAAAAGTTACACTTTCTAGCTTTCAGCTTTTGGTTGTGAGGCACTAATCAATATTTTCTACCTATTTACTATTTTAACTATGGTTATTTGCCAAATTCTGAACTTAAGAATTAAGGAAGAGTGTTTATTATATTCTAGATTAAAACAACATAACTTAAAATTTAGAAAGTCCTTGCTATATTCTTTTCTTGACGGAATAGAATTTAACAAAGAACTTATGCTAATATGAAAGTTGGTGAAGTGATTTCCGCCACCGTGCAAGTCAAAGAGAAAGTCAAACACGTCTCTTTTCCTGTCGAGTAGAGTATACTGCTAATCGAATAAATGCTTTTGTTTCTTCAAGTTCACATTCTCACGAAATCATGGCTATCATCATCTTCGTCCTCTTCTACATTTTCTTCCCTGTCCATGGCTTAACCGGCGGTTCATTCTTATCCGTCGAAAACAACGACGACATTTTAGTTTCGCCAAATGGGCTTTTCACCGCCGGTTTTCATCAGGTCGGACAGAATGCGTATTGCTTCGCTGTCTGGTTCTCCGATGAACTCATCACCGAAGGTCGAACCGTCGTCTGGATGGCTAACCGAGATGAACCGGTGAACGGAATAAACTCGAAGCTTTCCTTATTCAAAGATGGCAATCTTGTTTTAACTGATGCTGACCAATATATTATTTGGTCAACACAGACAAAGTCAACTTCTTCTTCCTTGTACCTGCAACTCCATGACACAGGTAACCTTGTCCTCCATGAACGAGAACAAACTATTTGGCAAAGCTTTGATTATCCAACAGATACCCTTCTTCCAAATCAACCATTAACCAAAAATACACAGCTTGTTTCCTCAAGAAGCTCCACTAATTGCTCATCCGGTTTCTACAAGCTCTATTTCGACATTGATAGCATTCTTCGCCTTCATTACGAAGGTCCAGAATCAACCACTATTTTCTGGCCGGATCCTGGTTTGCTACCATGGGAAGTCAGGAGATACCAGTACATGTACAATCGATCTGCCACCCTTGATTCCGATGGTCGATTCAACTCATCAGACGGTTTCGGATTCTTATCGGCTGATTTCGGGGTCGGACCACAAAGAATGATGAGAATCGACTACGACGGTGATCTGAGACTATACAGTCTCATTGAGCATCAAGGAAGAACGAAATGGGAAATTCAATGGCAAGCTGTTTCCCATTCTTGCAGGATTCATGGTATCTGTGGAGCAAATAGTCTCTGTATTTATTCTTCAGGAAGAAGAAGATGCACTTGCTTACATGGGTACAAAATGGTGAATTCTAAAGATTGGAGCTCCGGGTGTGAACCTGATTTTGAAGTTTGTAAACCCGACGATGAAGCTTTCGTGGAGCTTCGTCATGTAGAATTCTACGGATTTGATATGCGGTATCACGATAACTACACTCTTGATGCTTGCAAGAAAGATTGTTTACAAGATTGTAATTGCAAAGGGTTCCAGTTTGGATACAAAGATGATGTGGGAACTTATTATTGCTACATAAAGACTTCTCTATACAATGGATACCAAATGGGGTTCTACAATTCGATGTATATCAAGTTACCTAAATCGTTGGTGTCATCTTTTGTTCCGAAAGCCATCGAGAAGTCAAGCCTCCGGTGCACCGGCGGGAAGGTGACGCAGATAATAAGATCGTACGAGAAGAAACAGGAAAGTAAGATACTTAAGTTCGTGCTTGAGTTGGGATGCGTGATTGGGTTTATCGAGATCATTGGCATATTGTACTTCTGGTATAAGAGCTGTAAACGCTCAGTTACGACGGAGCAAGTTTATTTTCCGGCAGCCACAGCATTCAGGAAGTTCACGTACAGTGAGCTGAAAAAGGTTTCACGTAATTTCAGTGAAGAGATAGGTAGAGGTGGCGAAAGCATCGTGTATAAAGGAAGATTACCGGATAACCGGATTGCAGCGATCAAGAAGCTCAAGAACACAAACCACCACAATGAAGACGAATTTCAAGCGGAGATCGACACAATCGGGAGATTAAATCACATGAATCTGATCGAAACATGGGGTTATTGTGCTGAAGGAAAGCACAGACTTATCGTTTACGAGTACATGGAGAACGGATCTTTGGCCGGAAATTTACTCATCGGAAAACTGGATTGGGAGACAAGATTCGAAATCGCGAAAGGAACAGCCAAAGGGTTAGCTTATTTACACGAAGAATGCTTGGAGTGGGTTCTTCATTGCGACGTGAAACCTCATAACATACTCTTGGATGCTAATTGCAATCCAAAGGTGGCGGATTTTGGTCTTTCGAAGCTATTGGATAGAGATCGAACTGACAAATCAAACTTTCCAACAATCCGAGGGACTCGAGGCTACATGGCTCCAGAATGGGTGTTTAATCTTCCGATCACTTCAAAAGTTGATGTGTTTAGCTACGGGGTTGTGATACTGGAGATGATAACTGGCCGGAGTCCAGGGCGGCGAAGCCATGAAAATGGCGACACAGACCTTTCGGTGACTGAGTGGGTGAGAGATAGGATTCAAGAGTTTGATGGAAGTGGAAGGGAATCATGGGTTGAGCTGATCGTAGATCCTTCGATAGGTGGGGAATATGATCGGAGCACCATGGAAAACCTGGTTAAAGTTGCACTGCAATGTGCGGAGGAAGATATGGAGGCGCGACCCTCGATGAGTCAGGTAGTTAATATGCTTCTACATCCAGAAAAAGATTTGTAAGTAGCCAAGTGTCATATATGACTTGTATTTTATGTGTAGTGTTACTTCTAAATTTGTGCATTTATGTATTTCTTTTTCTTCGTTCACTAGTATATAAGCATACAAATCAAGAAATTCCTTGCATTAGTAATAATTAATTGGAACTTGGGAAAGAGAGTAGTGACCTAGAAATGATTTTTTTTTAATGAAATCATTATGATTATAAGATGAGGGATTTATTAACAGAATGGTGAACACAGAAAACATAACCAGAGCAATTCAACATGTAACTAGAGTAATCATTAAGTATAAAAACCAAGAATGTGAATTGAGAAATAAAACAAAACACTAAATCAGGTTCTGCTGTTTAGATTTTAAAGGAATGTAAATTAACTAAACAGACAAAAAACAATTCAACATGTGAACTCAACCAAAACTCAACAATAATTAGTTGGTAGAGTTGAAATTAGATTAGCCTGTAAATTTCCTACATAATTTTAACTCAGCAACACCTTTAAAAAAAAATATTTATCATTATTTTATATATTTAAATATCAAATATATATAATAATTAAAAATTTATTTATATTATATTTGTGTTTATGGATGTATTTTTTTTTAATAATTTGAACAATTATTGGAGTTTTTAAATTTTCTAAAAAAATTATTTGTACAATTATTGGAATTTGTAACATTTAAAAGCGTATTCGGAACGTTTAAAAACGTTTGATAACTTCTAACTTCTAGCGTTTTACAAAACGCTTCGTTTTGAACAGAAAGTCTCGTTCGACACTACAAACTTCTGGTGCTTAGTTTAAACAAAACGCTCCAGATCCAAATGCTACTTCATGCATTAGTATAAAAAACATTTGTTGATGCGGTTAAAATGATTAATTGATGCGGTTATTGAACCGCATCAAAAAATATCACATCAAAAAATACCCTTATTTAATGGTGCGGTTCCAAAAGCGCACCAAAAAATAGCCAAAACCGCACCAAAAAATAGCTAAAACCGCGTCAAAATATAGCTAGCTAAAACCGCACGAATTAACAGGTTCGCCATTGATACACACCACGTTACTTATGAAGCTTCATTTTCTTGTATTTAGGTATGTTTGATGAGTGTTTTTCAATCAATGGTTCAATCATAATATCTTAATCTGGTTTTTGAACTTTCTACCTATGATTCCATCAACTTCGCTTTCCTCAACTGTAGATCCATTAGAGGTTCCAATTGTTCCTTCTTTGATTTTAGTTTCTCCAAAAAAGAGTGGTTTCCATCTCTGCAATTTCTTTTTCTCTACCAATTAAAAATCTGTTCTTGGGAAATCACATTTCATCGATGTTGTTTTCAATTTCTTTTTTGACAACATCTTAAACTCACTCTGCAAAAACTAGCTCCATACCCATTGATTGAAAGTCACTCAAGCAACATCATAAGTCTTTAGATCCTTTCTTCGAGATATATCACGGAAGAAGAAGCATCTGTAGAGATTCAAAACAAGGAAACATCGTTAAAACTTAAAATAGGACATCCATTTACAATTAATAAGAGAAAAGTGGAGTCTCAAATGTCATTAATGAAAAGAAGATAAATAATGAACATACCTCACATGCGTTTTCAAGCATGAAATCGACAAATCTATAATTATAAGAAGATGCTGCATCTTCAACGTTATATAAAAGATTGAAGATTGAATGAAATTTTTGAAAAACATGAAAATTTTGAACGAATTTTGGAGGGATCTCGCGCGAAATGAAAAATTCGAATGAATTTTTTAAAAGAAAGATTAATGGTGCGGTTCAATGTTTTTTAGTGCAAATTATTTTTTGGTACGATTTAATGTTTTTTTAATGCGAATTATTTTTGGGACAATTGTAATTGTTTTTTGTGCAGTTTCCACATGATTTTTTGGTGAGATTTTGAGAAATCATATCAGAAAATGCTTTAATGGTACGATTTTGGGAAACCGCACTAACAAAGCTATTTTATAATGCGGCTCTCTTATTTTTTGATGTTGTAGATATTTATAAGACGATTTTTAGAAGGGACCACATCAAAAAATAAAAACTACCCGCATTGTTAAATGACTTGTGTACTAGTGATGTAGCGTTTAACAAAACGCTACAAAATACAAGCTACCCCTTACCAGCTAATTTTGCCGAATATACCCTTAAACATTGTTAAATTAAATTGAAATTTTCAATATGTTTAACTAAATGTGTCGATCCGAAACAACGACCCAACTTATTTTTTTTAATCCATAATGTATACCCTTAAACTTAAATTTTGATCTAACCAGTCACTTGTCATGTTTTTTTTCCGATACAATCCACTTAAGAGCATCCACGATGCATAATTCAACAAAATAGTTGGATGACTAATTGGCATAATGAGATTCATTGAATTAAACGCTTCTATTGTGATATGTCATGTTGACATTATATGGATATAAAGTTCAATGGTGAGTGAATTCTTCAATAAAAAAATTTTAAAAAAAAACCTTTTACTTATTAAAGATATATTACATTGAACATTATAAAGTCCAATGCATGGGTAAAAAACATAATACAAAGTTATATAAAAAGTAAAATAATAATATGTCAATCCATTAGACTCTAATAAGTTCAATGTATTACAGATACTCTAAATCTAATGGACGATGCATTTTAAAACTCTTCTCTTATTATTTTTACTAAACGAACGTCCGCGCGTTGAGTAGAAACACCTATATAGTTGAAGTCTTTACAAATATATGTTTTTTTTAAATATAACAATAACGTTGTTGTTAAATTTGATATAATAATTCATATACTAAATTGATATAGTGTATTGATTATTTTGAAGAGTAAATTACACGAATGGTCCCTATGGTTTGGGGTAATTTGCGTGTTTGGTCCCTACCTTAATTTTTTAACTCGGAAAGTCCCTACTGTTTGTTTTTGTTACGCACTTGATCCCTACTGTTTGTTTTTGTTACACGCCTGGTCCCTATCTTACCTAAAAATACTATTATTTAAACAGAAAAAAAAATGGTGAGATATGTAAGGTAAGGTGAGAGGGGTGGGGTTGGGGGTATATTTATTTAAATAAATTAAAAAATCAAGGGAAAAATAGTCTTTTTAGGTAAGACAGGGACCAAGCGCGTAACAAAAACAAATAATAGGGACCTTCCGAGTTAAAAAAATAAGTTAGGGACCAAACACGCAAATTACGCCAAACCATAGGGATCATCCGTGTAATTTACTCTATTTTGAATATATGATAATATATACATCTATTATAACTGCATAATCTCAATCGTTTGAATGACTTCTACACGCGAGTTACACATGAATAAATTAAATATAATATATGGTTTAATTTTATTTATAGTTGTTGTTATTGTTAATTAATTTTTTAAAATTTATTTGTTTAATGTTTTAATTTCTATCATTATAATGATTTAAAACACCAAACATTGTTTTTTGATTTTAAAGTTAACAATATAATCATTTATATATAGTTGTTTTTAACTATTGTTATTGTAAGTTATTTTAAGCTACCTATTTGAAAACTTTTAACGAATATAAAAATATCTTTAGGAAATATTTTAGTTAAATAGAGATTACAATTTAGTTTTTGCATTTATCACTACAATTTATCACTTTTAA